AACTCCTAAGATTCTGTGATTCTGTGACTGATGTATGGATAACATCAAAGGTACTATGCCTGTTTTGCCTCCCACCACACCTATCAATATTGGTAAGTTTCCTGTCTCCAAGGTTACAATATTCTCCGTTCCAGTTCACCTGACAATTCAAAAAACTTCATGAGACATACAAACACCTCACACGTCCTTGCATGGTAAATGTCATTACAGGGATGAAGGCTTCACACATCCAGGTAATAAAAAATAAGCATTTAAGAGATTGTCTCAAACCTTAGATTCATTTTCTACATTGCTGTATTCTCCAGGCAGCTCCAGGGTCATTTCAGAGAAGCACTGTCTAAGATCAGCTGCTTTGTTATCTAGGAAAAAAAAATCAGCATAGATATTTATGAAGAGAACTCCAGTATTGGTGGATGGAGCAAAAAGTAGTTTAGCTACAATACAGCACTTCTAGTATTTGAAATACTGTTTCACTGAAAGGAGTAACTCCCCCACATGAGATAGCATCATCATGTTCAAAGGATCTATTCTGAACACGTGTCCAGTTATTTTTCTTAATAGATATTTTTGTCACAAAGGCAAGGTTTCTGTTGGTATTGTGGAACAAAGACATCCATGGTACAAGGACAGATTCTACCTGAGACATTCAAATTATTTTTTCATTTGGAAATCAGCTTAGAAATAAACTACACTGTAAAAAGGATCTGCAGTGCTACTACTGAAGCTCCCATTGCAGTGGTTTTTTTTCTTTTGTTCCTCAATCACTAACAGTAACTCCCAGACCAACTTGCAGAGCAAGGCTGCATTGACAGAGCTTGAAAGTGGAAAAGAGCTGACAGATGTTGTACTGCTATACTTTGTAACTGGTCAATTTCACATGCAGTCACAAAGATGGATGCAAACCACCCACTGCTATAGGAACAGAATCTTTTCAGAGATCTCATCCAAAATGTAATTTTGTAATTTAAAATGTTTTTCATTTCTTCTAATCAGACCAGCCCTTACCTCTCTTCCCAGAAAGCACATTACTTAGTTTCTAGTAAATGACTTACAAAGTACATAGGATTTGTCAGTTTTCTCTTGCCTCTTTTATATAAGAATAGAAATACTCCAGAACTATTTGTGCAGAAAGCAAAAGACCCTTCCAAGAAGACAGCAAGGTACGTGTGCTGCATTAAACCAAATGCTAGAAGTTTCCCAGAGAATGTAAGGGAATGCAACTTACACATAAAGGTAATAAAAATGTAACATATTTTCAGAAGCTCTTACCATTAATGTTAAAACTGACAGATTTGATCGAGGTCTCCTGTTTTACGAGTGAGGGAAATATCATATTAAAAATCATTATAACATATAACATAATAGTGATTTTAGCAAAATCTCTTGCTACAAAGCTCTTTAAATAATGAGTAGGAAAAATACGGAATTCCTAAGAGCAGCAAAATTTAATAATGAAATTACAAAAGCAAATCTCACAGAGCTGGAAACAACTGTATTTTCTCTTAAGGATAAAAGGAAACAGCAAAGAATTTTCTTTCCCTTCCAAATGATCCTCTCATTATAGGGGTAGGCAGTCACTATAAACAAAATGACGGTCCCAACATGGTCTCATATAAATTCTCTTGGATACTCAATTATTGGAGTATAAATCACTATAACTAGTTATTCTAGTCCTGCCTAAGAGACACCTTCTAGCAGTAAGTGTCAATGGTTTATTATACAGCATGGAAAAAGCATATAACCTCTCATTCTTTTAAAGAAAAATCAAACATGATCATCAGGATTATGGAAACAGTCTCTTATTATTTTTTAAAAAATCTTTTAAATCTATGTTTTCCTAATAAAACTACATTAATTTTCTTAGTGTGCCAAGTGCTATGCATGAAGGCTTCCCCAAACCCTCTGCAAATATAGAGCAAATATAGCTCAAAGCAGCAGTAATACAAACCCTTCTGATACTAAATAGCTCATTTTCCTCAGCTCATGTCTACTACAACTTCACTTCTGGCAAGTATCCTTAGAAAGACGACTAGTTTTCCTCATTCAAAACTGGGTTAAAACTCCCTCCCTTCCTCTCCTCTTCTCCAAAAAAGAGATCAGTTACAGCCCTAATAAGTTTCCCAATCTGACTCATCATGCAGCTGCAGGAAGGGTTTAACTGATAAAGGACTGGTACATTGAGAAAATGGCACCACTTTCTCTAGCAGCAGCAGCCGGAACGGAACATCAAAGTATGGTGTTAGCCCTTACAGACAGTTTAGTGTTGATCAGAAGAAAATTTAACAAGCAGCACTAGAAGGCACCCATCTAGCTTTTTCTCTCACTCATCTCTCATTGTAACATCTTCTCCTCAACTGCACATGACCAATAGTATTTTTGACTTCCACTATTTGATATTATCTGCAGTTTGTATTTCTTACATGATGAACAAATATGCTTGTTCCCTTCCTAAGCCACGTAAGAAGATTTAGCAAAAAAATTGCACAGCCAGTAGAGTTTCAAAATAAAGGCAAGAAAAAACCCCAAACCCCCAAGCCACTAAAACCCAAGTTGGCATTATATGCTCCAGCGTACCTGTGGGGAATTGAATACTCTGATGTTTCGAATGTGAGACAGTGAAGATTCCTCGACTGGCAAAGTGTTCTCCTGCTGAGGCAGAGACACTAAGAGCAGAAAGAGACAAAATGAGAGGAGCCAAGTGCCTTTTAGTTAAATCAGTATGAATCTGCACATTAGGCAATCATGGATCTATACTTACTGAAAGATACATTAAAACAGAAAGCAACTTTGAAACACATTCAGAAAGCATGGGGAATGGAATTCATGAAACAATGAGTGTCCTTGCACCTATTGGGGAGACACAGCTTTGTACTTCTCAGAATTTGTTACCCAGTGCTTAAATAAATGGAAATAGAACTTCTTCCCCAGTATGCTTATAGTCACCCCATGGGACATTAAGTGAAGGAATATTACAGACTGCACTATAAGCCCTGGTAACGTGAATCACACATTTAATAATAAAGCCTACCAAACACACATGCACATACAGTTTGTCTCGCCAGCTTATTAGCAGGCAACTGCCTTGTTGTAGCATATGTTCATACATCACAAAGCACCTTTTACAGGACAGTCATCCTCATCTCAGTACCATTCATGGGGAAACTGAGAAATGTGACAAAACCGTAAGTAGATTTCCAGTTTCCCAGGCTGTTCTGTATGTGCTGGACCGCCCTGTGTGGCCTCAGATATTCCTGCACATCCCTACTGGAATTCAGCTAGGAAGTAATGCAAGCTAGGGACTGTTAGACCAGATTCAGGTGTGAAGACAAGCGACCTCACTCTAGCTCCTGTTCCAGCAATGCACACATAGGACCTTGAGGCTCAGTTGCTGAGACCCTTCTAGTGCTTTCCACATTTTAGCAAACCTACTCTCTGACTTTGAATTTCTCACCTTTTGCCCTTTTGTAGCAGTTTACTGTTTCCAGGAGATCAGGTGAAACATTCATACAGACTTCCTCCAGCATCTGTACATTGCTTTCAGTTAAAAGGCCCTGTTTTTCCAATAAAATCAGCAATTCCAGAGCAGACTGACAGCCAAAAGGAAAGAGTAAAATACAGTTGTTATTTTTCCTTAGAACTCAAAACCTGCTGCATCCCTGTTTGCCTCAATCACATTATCTGCTTTGCTTCCTACCAACAAGGTCCAAACAGCCAATTTTACATCACTGTGGGAGATGGAAATGTTGCTCCATAGAAAGATACTGGTTGCACTATTATCTCATATGGTCTTCTCTAAACAGGTTCACCCAAACCATATTAATGACTCTTGGGCTTCAAGAAGGCTTTATTGCTGTGAAATGGTACCAATGGCATATGGACGTGAATCTCCTCTGCACATGGCTCAAGCAGGGCAAAGATTTTATTTCCCACCCTGTTATGATCTAATGCAAGACTCTGGACTGCCAGTGACTGACCTGGGCACAGAGCGCCAAATTCCACACTTACCTGTCAACAGCTTCCTCCTTGCTAACCTTACAAATACTGACCCGCCTAGTTGCAGATTATGCCCTATTCTGCCAAATACTTTTCACTTCATGCTCTTCCTCCTGTTTCCCCTCCTCCATCTTCCCTTCCCGCCATGTACACACTCTCTCCTCACGTACAAGAGTTATCCGTCGCTTTGGAAGATAGTTTTGCAGGAGGAATATGATATCATTCAACATCTCATTGGTAATGTTCTCTGACAATTCATACAGCATCTGCCTGTAACAGAGATACAGTGAGATAAAAGCAGAACAGAAGATGGTGTTGAAACCAAAAGCAATCTGAGAATTCAAAAATGGAAAGGGAAACAGTATGGCATAGATGGCAATAGTGGAGAGAACAGCAAGCTTACCTGTACAGAGACACTCTTCCCTTCACATGCAGACATTCTTGCACTTTCTCCTTTGTATAACCAAGTTTCCTGAGCAAGGAGTGACATTTAATTCTGTATAAGAGTTCAGCTAGTAGGAAAGTATCTTCCTCATGCAGGTATTCTTCAGCCATGAGAAGCTGAAAGATGTCCACTGCTGACCTCACACTTTCTAGTTTTCTCAAGGGAAGCAAGTCAGTACAGAGAAATTTTAAAGCTGCTACATCTTCAGCCACCAGATTTTCATCAATGAGCAGAAGCTGCTGACGGAACTTCAAGCTGACATCATCCTCCATGTTGCTAGAACCAACAGTCTCTCTGCCTGAAAGCACAAAGCAAACGCTAGTAACACCTGAATCTTCAATACAACAATCCTTGTAATAAGATTTCATCCAGCAGCTGTTTGGAAACCATGTACTCCCCACAGAAAAGGACTTTCCTTTTAAATAAATTTGAAACTTATTTCGTCCTCCAAACAAAAGACTACAACAAGGACAAGATGTGCCAGAAGGTCTGAACAACCAAGTCTAATTTTGAAGTTAGCCTTCCTTCTCTCCTCATATGAAATCTCATGTGTTGTGACACCCTCTTCACTTATGTCACTATCAAAAAGGTTCAGATCTCAGCCAGTTATTTACACACAGAAATTATATCACTTCACAGTAAATCAGACTTTAAATTCATTCAGCTAAAAGCTACTTTAAAACTCTATCTAGATCAACTAAATTTAGCAGAGTAACTTAGCTTAAACTGACTCTTTCCTAAAATAGGAAGCCTACATAATCCAGGCTCAAACTGAATTATGACAATTCAGAGTTTAGAGCCAACAATTTCTATTAAATGAGTTAGAATACCATTGCATAAGGAGAACGGGGAAAGTTGTGTGTACACCAGGTGTACGTTGTCATTTCATCAGCAAATCAAACTGAAGCAAGATCCAACACAATTCCTTCCATCTGCCTTTAAAATAGTTCTGAGGTCTCTGCTGCTTCCATTCTTGGAAAGCTTTTTTCACTCCAAACATTTCCTTCTTGAGTTTGGAATACCCTCCAGACGTGCACATTTACTGGCTGGCTGTAACCTCTCTTACCCCTACTCTGCACTGAGGGTGGGGTGGCCTGGGCTGGGCCTCTCTCCCCGCACTACCATGAAAGAAAACGCTAGCTGCTCACTGCCTGCCCATCCACTGCCCAGTTTACTGCGGCCGCGTTTTCAGAACCCTCTACCACTCCATGCATTTTACGGGCTATTTATAAAACGCCATGGTAAAAAAAAGTCCTAAAGCAAAGAAGGAAAGTGAGCAAACAATCTCTATTCCAGTAAAACAAAACGATGCTAAACACCCAGCACTTACAAACGGGTCCCTGGACCTACCCACTCCCCAGGTTCGCCGCGGCTCACCGTAACATTTACAGCTAGAGCTAGCAGGACATTAGCAGGCAGAAAGGTGATGGATCAGCGTCCTTAATTTATTTTTTTTGTGATTATATCCTTAGAGAAGGAAAATCACAGAGAATAAGCAATAAGGATTATCAAATTACTATTTTTTTTTCTTTCAAAGTTTTATTGATTGGGGTACTGCCAGACTAAAAGACTTAAGAATAATACAAAAGCCACAGAGCGCAAGGGAATACCGAGGCTCAGCCTACAGCCCCACAAAAAAGAGAATTACTCCTCTCCGGCGCGGCGGGCAGCTGCACAATACCGGAAGGAAGGAGAGGCATCCAGGCTCGGAATCCGAAGCTTTCTCTTCGTTTCCTCTCCAGTTCAGCCCCCACGTTCTTACCTCTTACATGAACTCCGACCCGGTCGCTTCTCCCGGCAGCTACTCGGGGAGAGACGCTCAGCACTTCTCAGTATGT